GTGTACTTTAGAAGCTGTAAAGAAATCTTTATATATGAAAATAAACGTGCTCTTTGCGAGATCAGCTGAAGTGCCAGTATAGATAGACCATCAAATTCAGCGTTTGCAATTACATCGCACGTCAAGAAGAACCTAAATGGAACGGAATAAAAAAAAATGCGTTTGGAACACATGAACGCGTTCCGAACGATACTACAAACGCGTTCGGAGCTACTAGTTCCGAACGCGTTCTCAATCCATGTTCGGAACGCGTTCTTTAACCGTTTGTCTTGAGCTGGGATAAAGGATAATTTCTAACAATATATATATATTTATAAAAGTTGTTGATGACGTACTTCTTTTAGATTTTCCATTTATAGAAAGTTGATCTGCATATAAAATAGAATGGAATGCATTAAATTCCTTATTTATTTTTGAAAGAAGTAGCATGAGTCATTAAAAATGCTTTAGTTTTTCTTTTTACTATCTATATTAGTTATGATTTTGTCTAAAATGAAAAAAATCGAATAACAATTGTAGAAACTATTTTTAGAAATTTTTTATATTTACCTCATTTTGTTTTTTTTTTTTTATCAGACGAAATATTGTAGATCGTTTTCTACTAAAGAAAATTTTTCTTCTATTTCATTCATCTTTTAAATAGACAAAATGTTAATATAGAAAATTATGAAAATATTTTCTACTGCATTTTGTACATCAATAAGAAATTGTTCTATTATTTTTGCGATTATTATATTATTTGTAATACTTAGGGCAATCGAAAAGTAGTGGCGGAGGTACTTTATTTTCTTATAGAAATCTTTAAAATAATTTCTTTTTTTTATGAACAGATAGAGCGACTTTCATTCTATTTTTCCATGATATTTGATCATTATTCAACTGGTATTATAATAATAAAATTTCTATAAGATCTGTTTCGTTGACATGTTTGTTGGTAGCATGAACATGAATGGTCATTAGTATTTTTTGAATAAAATTTGATAAAAACAAGATAGAGAACTGTGGTTTTCACCGTTAGAAAGAGGAGATGAAAACGCATGAAACTGTATATTATTGACTTTTCTAACTTTGTTTTTGTAAGATTTTCAATTGACGTTTCAAAGAACAAACCTATTCCGTGAGTTGTCTACAGGAAATTTTCAATAATCGGGTTCACATTCGAACCACTAATTCAAGATATACAAACTATGAAAGAGTCACATTTTTAAATTTAATTATTTATAGGTAATAAATATTCTAGAAGGACATTTACTACGATTTTTCATCAGCTTTTTTGCTTTTTCTTTTTTTTGATAAAAAAACATATTTTAAACCGTTAGAAAATTGAATAAAAAAAACTTCAAAAATGATATTGGAAAAATCAGTAATATACGGTTCGATGCATCTTCATCTCCTCTTTCCAACGATGAAAATCGTAGTTCTCTATCTTATTTCTATCAAACTTTGTTGAAAAAATTCTCACGAGCATTCTTGCTACCAGCACATATGTCAACGAAACAGATTTTATCGAAATTTTATTATTATAATACTAGTTGAATAATGATCAAATAACATGGAAAAATAGAGTGAAAGTCGCTCTATCTGTTCATAAAAAAAAAAATTATTTTAAAGGTTTCTATAAGAAAATAAAGTACCTCCGCCACTACTTTTCGATTGCCCTAAGTAGAATATAATTTTTCTAACTAAAAATAAGTAAAGAAAAAAAAGGTCTAAATTATTGTGAATAATTTATTCTATGATAGACATATGTAAAAATGTAACCTATTTCAATTGATCTATAATTCTAAGTAATAATGATTGATTATTTATGTTATAATATAAGAGAAAATTTCTGATCGACTAAAGAATATAAAAAAAACATTTATAGTAAAATTATAATGTTATCAGAATGAAAAGTAAATCGAATTTTTTGAATAATATATAGATAATAAGAAAAACTTTTAATTGACATTATTTAGTTTCAAGAATTGTCTAAAGAAATATATTTATTAATTTTCGAAAATATTTTTATCATTTAAAATTTATCAAATAAAATAAAATCTATTTCGATAAGTTATTTTTTTATATTTCAATCATTTGTTTTTATCATAACAACAGTAAACATATTCTCGACTTCCTTATATTCAATTAATCAGATATAAATTTAAAATTAATCTTATTATAGTCAAATATAATTACAAATATTCAAATTCAAATTCAAATTCAAATTCAAATTCTTGCTATGATTGTCTCTAAGATTAGTTTCGTCTTGTGTGTAAGTCGGATTGTTCGGATAGGTTGACAGTTAATGTATTTTGTTTCCTTAAAAGAAAATAAACATCCATAAGGACAAACACATACTCACAGAGAATCATTTGTTTCACGTCATTGATTATTTAAATCGTATCTCTGACCAGTTATTCCAGCGTTTCTGTTCATTTATCTCACATATCCCATAACTTCGTTCACATCTTCCTCTACTTCTCGAGGTTGATCAATTTCCTGGATATGTAACATGTCTCTCTATCACCATTATAAGACTCTTTCCAATATAATCAAACAATCAACCCATATTTTCAAACATTCTAATTATTTCTATTTATAAGTATTGAATTAGTTCAAATTAAACGATATTATATCCTTGTCTATATTTTGGCATTATTTTTCATCTATCAATGAGATCTATCTATGCTGAAAAAATGACGCTTTCACAGACGACTCGACTTGTCCGAGTTAGAGGAATGTGAGTATATCATTTTCAGTACATATCTTTTATTAACCGTTTACAGCCGAAGGAGGTTTTTCATGCAACAAAGCGAAGACAACCATAAAAATAGTGGTTGCCGACCAGTGGCGTACGCAGAAATTTTTCAAGGGGGGGGGCCCAACTTCGTAAGGGGGGGGGCCCGCCATGACACAAAAAATTTTTTATCACGCGAAAATATTTTTTCCTGTACCCCCCTTCAGGACTTTTTCGTCTCAAGGGGGGGGGGCCCGGGCCCCCTCGGCCCCCCCCCCCTGCGTACGCCACTGCTTGGAATATAGTCTTTTCTTGTGGACATGAACATTCATGGTTAATTTGACATGTACTTATACAAAATGTTTTATAATTTTAAATATTAATGTAGCCATGGGTAACTTTTGGATATTCGTAAAAACTGAAATCCACTCAGACACGTATAGTTACATTCTTTTTGAATAATAAAAAAATAAAAATAATTACTTCGAAATTTGATTCTAAAAAGATCTGGTATAAATAAAATTCAAAGTAAATATTGTGTAAGTTGAACAGTGATGAATATAATAAATTGCACAAGCATATATTTAAAATGATATATTCATAAATTGAACAAGAAAATACAAATAAAAGCATTACATTTTTCTGATGAAAAACTTTAGTGCACAAGTTTATATATCGAATATTCAATTAGTTTCATTTTTATGGTAATTTTTTTCTTTTCTCTTTCTTATATTGCCAATTTGAACAATAATGTATGCATACATTATGTCAATAATCTAAGTAGTTAATGAAAATTATATAAAATATGATAGGAATTGTATCTATCGTATTTGTATGAATAAAATGCTTAAATCAAATATGGAAATTTTCCTCATGATATCTTGTAAAAGAAATCGTCCATAGAAATATGACAATCATTAAAATTCATTCGATATAAAATTAATCATAGGCATCCGTTGTTGCATAGCTCACTTAGATGAAGTGTCACATTTTATGTAAATCATAGTATACGATACAAATAAAGAAAATCATCAAAGAAACGCAAAAAAATAATGTTTGATACGAAGAAAAGATCCAAAACCTATAGTAGATGGTAAACTGATGAGTAAAAAGAGAAAAGTTGTAATGATCAACGTATAGTTGAAATATTTCAATGGTGAACTTGTGAATTTTGAATTATTCTTGTACATTTAAGACGAATCAAATAATAAATAACACTATATTTATATAAGGTATCTTTCCGTTTTATCGACAGAGTTTCGTCGACACAAATTTTTTCTGAATATTTTCGGAACTTAACTGTGAAGAAATCTTGTCATGGAAATAGATAAAATTAAACAGTAACAACACTCTGACATTTTCAAAATGAACGTTGTCATTAATAAAAACGCCAGAAAAATGCTTTCGATCAGTGAATATGGGTGTGACTATTGGACATCTCCATTTCCGCAGTTGCTTTCACACACACCCTAATTGAAGGGCTGGTGCCATCGACTCCATAAAAATATTATCATCTCTAATTCCAACTTATATGTAGTGATTGATGAATTAAAGAAAGATTAAGCATTCAACACGACGTCATTAGATGAATATTTAAATAAAATCAATAAAACAATTGGTAAAAAATTACATTAATATTTTGTTATTCCTATCTTAAGAACTATTGAATTGTGTTCGCATTTCTATTATTACAATCATCTTCTCTAATACAAAGTTGAAATTTGTTTTTCTCTTCCATAAAATACTGCTGAATAAAACGTGTCAATGAAAAGGGAAAAAAGATTTTGTTGATGAACCAAGAAAATTAATTAATTACTCTTCTTTTTTTCAATGATATGGGACCAAACTGTTGAATATAACCATTAATACGAATGGTACACAATCATAAATACTTAAATTGATATAATTTCATAATGGATTGATATCATGCAACCTAGATATACCACTAATTGTACCATTTAGTTCGTAATAGCAAACAAAAAAGAAAAAAAAAACAGGAAAATGAAGAACTATTAGAACACCTAAAGTGCATGCTATTATAATTTGAATATTCTTTGACACACCAGATCATGTCCGATGAAGATAATGCAGTGATAAATATCGATTAATACAAACAAAAACACGAAGTCAAGTCGATGTCTGAGCAGAACATAATTAAGAAAAAAAATAAAATCTGCATGTTATTATAGAATAATGTATAATGTGATTTTGATGTATGACTATAAGATAATGATTGAAGTTTTATCCATATAACATAAGAATATCAATGATGACCATTGTGGGCATATAATCTAGTGTTGATCTTGCTCTGATATTTCGAAATGTTGATCGACAGAGAATAATAAATGCCGTGATATTGAATATAGTGCCAACAATAATCAAAGTTAATGAATAATAAGCAACAATCAGAGATTCTGTTGATGGTTCATTTGGTTTTATTGCTGTTATGTTATTATTCAACATTATTTATTAAATTTTGTTCTCTTCAAACAATAAATAAATCTATAAAAACAAACTGAATAAGATAAGATTTACATTCACGTTGTAGTTGTTCATATAGAGTTCTTCTGAAATGTTTTTTTTTTTTTTTTTATATAAAATATTTCTTGTTGTCAGAACTATTTTTATATTTTAATTATAGAAAAAACAAAATTTTTATAAAAATAAGCTCAATTAGATTTTTTTTACTTTTTAACAATGGCATGTCCTAAATGTTAATGTTACATGTTCTTCAAATGAAAATATCATTCTGACATTATTAGAGTAAAATAATGAAGAAGGAGATCAATATGAGTACTTTGATTCAATTAAGTTTTCTAAAAAAATTTATGATTCGATCTGAAATATGAACGTAGGAACAACAACATTAATCAATATAATCCTTAAACATTACGAAAGATGTAAACCATAGATACTTATGAAAATGTATTTTTTATAACTCAGGATGTATGTTGTCTTCTTAGAAAATGATACTAATTATATGAGATTGTATTGTAATATTTTATAAATTTTAAATGTATTCAAACAATTATCGATATAGATAATTTTGTTACAAAAGTTCATAGGAGATTTAGACTTATCCATTTAAGAGGAACTTTTCATAGTTTTGTTCTAAAATATGAAAAAATTGACAGGTCTTCAAGAAAATATTATCAAGAATAACTTTATATATGAATTTATAATGGAAGATGTCTTTATCTCAAATTGACAGTCGAAAACATTTCGTTCAATGTACTCACTTAATAAAGAAATTGTTGTTGTAATTTGTAGAAAACTAGCTCTTCCAGTCGACTTCCAACTAGATAGATTTAAACTGACAGCTGTCTTAAGCCGTCGTAAATGTGCATGCGTCATCACAGCTTAAAATTTCTTTTTATTTTGTTGTCAATCATAGGCTTATCCTAAATGAGGAATGGTATAACCAACAAAAAAGATGACAAATTTTCCACTAACAACAAGGTTCACTATAAAAATGTTCAGTTTCTATTGTTCTATATTGAAATTGATTATGATTCATTTTGCGATTGGAAACGTTTGTTTTATGCTTGTAAAGGAATCATCATTTTTCAATCTTATTAATTATTATCGAACAGAAAATTATTGTCTAACGGACACATGTCTATACTCATTGTCTGCACTTCTGTGAAACATGATCCAACAGGAGCATTGACGTGTATAGGGATAGAAATTTGAATCCGTTCACAGACGTAAATCACATCTTACCAACTAGTCATCACAGATGTGTCAGACACATGACGAGCAGCTTAGCACAAATAAGATAGACATCTTAACGACGACACATCATAGATATGACAAACATCCTTAACAACATCTCTTCTTCATCATGGGCCGTAATGGACTTTGTTACTATACGATCACAAACTACATATGAACAATACCTTGTTATAATTTATGAACTACGTAGTTCCTTATTGTATTTTTGGAGGATTAGATAAAAGAATGATGAAAAAATGTGTCTTTCAAAACAGATGGAATAAAACAATCTCCCTATGATTAACAATAGTAACTACATCGTATTTCACATTTGAATTTCCAGGGATTGTGCTAACAGTTTTCTGTATTTCGAGTGCGTTCTTGCATAACTATTTGATGATTATTAACGTGGAAGATCAAGCTGAGTTTAGCATGAAGACTTTAATTGAATAAACACACCTTGTGAAACGTTTTATCCTATGTTTATTAAAACTACAAGTGTATTGATGTGTTTACATATGTCGTTTCTTTTCTGACAAAATGATCATTTATATATATAGCAGTAATGAGATTATTATAGATATGTTTTATTTTTATTCGACTTTAGGATGTTTTATAATTGCAAGATCTTTAATTAAACTGTGGTGTTAAATGACTACAACATACATATTGTATGTATATGAAAAATATAGTTCTCTCTTCTCTGATATTATGGCGGCATTTCTATTAAAAAACAACAGACTCTTTTAATCTGAACAATTTTCATTATGTTTGTACATACTTTTATGAGCATTTTTACTCTGTTCTTGATTGTTTGTTTAGAAAGAGTTAAATTACAAATTGATGACTAAACAGAAAAATTGTTATTTAAGTTTTGTTTTATATAAAACTCATTACATTTTTTTACTTTGACTGTGGATGTTTTCCTCTTGACATTTGTACTCACTCCTGCGCACGAGTTGTACTCCGAAGTACTAAAATCTTGTTTCGCGGCCCCCCCCCCCCCCCCCCCCCCCCCCCCCCCCCGCCCCCCCCCCCCTCTTGCAGTTTTCATCCCCCCCCCCCACCCGGTTGCCCCCCCGATACAAAAAACTTTTTTCCCCCCCCCCCCCCCCCCCGCTCCCGCTGCCTTGCAATCAATCGATTTGGCAATAAAACTAATAAATGATAATAAAATGTTATACGTAGAATGGATCATATTTAACCTGGATTCGTTTTCGGTTATGAATTTATTCGGCGAAAAGCATCGTTAGCAAAAAGAAAATTCCGCGAAAAGGGACTAATTCAGATACAAAACACCTAAATATTTGCTAAAGAGTCATACATGTTATCTTCAATATTGACTCATATCATGTCTAGAAGAAAGATATATATAACTTGTGTAATGTGTTTTTGCGGTGACAAAAAAAACATCAGTTCTCAAGAATAATACATCCTGCCATAGTCATAAGTCACATTGGATGTGTTATCTTTGCACTTTGTTACAATGATAGTAGTATAATAATACCTGTCTGCACTTCTTCCTTTTTCATTTTACGATTTACACTAATATCTTTAGTAAAAATATTACAACACTTTATTATTAATTATTTCATCAAAATAAAATGTTGGCCGAAGAACTTAACAGTAAAGACTCACGTGAACTTTTATCGGCAGTAGATCGAATGCGAGAAATTTTACAGGGACATAAAATTTGTTTACCAGAAATCGTCGTTGTCGGTGATCAATCTGTAGGTAAATCATCTGTACTCGAAGCTATATCTGGAATTCAATTACCTCGAGCACAAAACATCTGTACTCGATGTCCATTAGAATTACGTATGAAAGTAACAACAGATAATGAATATGCTATCATACATAATAGTAAAACTTCGGAAGATACAAAGAAAACTATTGTTGACATGAAAAATATTGCTGATGAAGTTATTCGTCTAACCAATGATATTGCAGGAAATGGAATAAATGTTAGTTCAGATCCAATTTATTTGACAGTTTACAAACGTAATATACCATATGATTTGACATTGATCGATTTACCAGGTATAACACGAAATCCACAACCTGGTCAAGCAAAAGATATTCATACACAAATTTTAACTTTGATTAACAAGTATATCGAACCATCAACTGCTGTAAGTTCTTTAAAATATCTTCTCATATAATGAATTCCTGCTGTTGTTGTTGTTTTTTTCATTAAAGGTTGTTCTTCATGTAATTCCATCGTCTGTTGATTTTGCAACATCGGAATCGACGAAATTAGCTAAAGAATTCGATCCTGATTGTGAACGACAACTTATTGCGGTTTCGAAAGTTGATAAATATGATAAAGGTATAGCCCAAAAATTACTTGGCGAAGGATCTGGTTCAATGAAATTTCATTTGGGTTGTGTTGCTGTACTAAATCGAAATCAAGATGAAATTGATTCAAATGTATCATTTGAAGAAATGAAAGAACGTGAAAAACAATTTTTTATTAAACATCGTGAAGCTTTTCAAAATTTACCGGATGAATATAAAGGTGTTGATCAATTAGTAAAAAAATTAGCTATGATTCAACATAATCGTATTCGTTCAACATTTCCTGAAACTATTGAAGAATTAAGAAAACAAATTCGTGCTAAAAAACTCGAGCTTAAACATATTCCAATGGCTATGACAACCGAACATGAATGTTGGACTAAGTTTCAATCAATGATTGATACATTTCGTGAAAGTATTCAAGCTAAAGTCAATGGTGACTATGATTGTGAAATACGAAGCAGTATGTTTAATATAAATAGTGATGAACCTGACAATACAAGTAGTATTAAGACAACAGTACCGAATCGTACTAAAATAGCATTTATTTCTTTGCCTGGTGATGATCATATAGCTTATCATCTTTATAAATTTCAACAAAAATTTCAAGAAGAACTACGGAATAGTTTTTCGGATTTTTCTACCACAGATTATAAAAAACTTGCAATGATTAAAATTGATTATGCCACTGGTGTTTCATTGCCTAATTTTCAAAGCTTTAAAATAATTGAAAGTTTATTTCGAGAAGAACTTGCTCGTTTACCAAAAGTATGTTTTTCATTAGTTCAAGATATACATAATTATCTCAATAATATTTTATTGAAAATATATCATCAAACATTTGATCAAGAATATCCTCGTCTTATTCAACGACTTAAAGAAGTTATTATTGGAAAAATTGATGAAGCTGAAGAACGAACAATAGAACGTGTACAAGAAATACTTGATATGGAAAAGAGATTATTTACATTAAGTCCTGAATATATGAAACTTATTTTAGAAATAAGAAAAATTAACAATTCTAGTGATAGAGAAAACAATGAACAGGTAATAATACCACAATCGACACAATCATTAGCACAAGGACGCAGTGCAGTTCTAAATTCAAATAAAATACATTACATTTCACCAACATTTGCTCCAACGACAAATCAAAGTGTTTATGAATCAGAGGCTAATGAAGTTCATGCAGCAACAGATATTCAAACATCTTTAAAAGCATATTCTGAAGTGAGTAAATCAAATTGAAACTATGTCGATGACAGAAGAATTTGTTTTAGATCGTACAAAAACGTATTATTGATATCATCTCTCAAATATGTTATCATCAATTTATTACTCTATGTACACTTGAGGTTCATAAAAATATGACTATCGCCATTCCAACATCGGACTTGATTCGTTATATGAAAGAGCCTTATGATCGAACGACTCAACGACAAAATTTAAAACGTAGTATCAAAGCATTTGAAGAAGCATTAAAACTTGGACAAGAACATTTATGATTTCATTGAATTAAGAATTGAAGTTAAAAAATAAAAGAAGACAATAAAAAAAAAGCATATTTCAAGATCTATAAATACAATCGGCTAATCACTAATCTAATTCATACAGACCTTGACTTTGTCGGGTTTCTAAAAACCTATTAAAGTTTCTTGCATATATCTCCATCAAGCTAACTACTATAGATATTCTAAGAAACAATATGAAAGTTGATTTAAAAAAAGATAATAACCGCTCACATCAAAGAGAATGTGGGTGTAATCGCTTTCTTCGCTAACATCAACACCCACTCCACCACATCCTTAGTTGTCATCTATGCTCTGTATTTTTTCGTCTTGGGTATACACTTATTAATATTTGCGATATCTTTGCATTTATATTCTTTGTCGCACTCATTTTATTTCATTATCTTTTTTCGTTTCTTAATATTTCTTCTTGACTGTCTCATTTCGTCATCCAATCATTCATCTTAGGAATGTCATATTGGTATTACTTTTTTTAATTTTAATCCTTTCGCGACGGGGTTCTTTTGGCAGGATACTAGGATTTTAAAGTTTTGATACAAGCCTCAAATATGGTATACATGCCCAACAAAAACGATGGATTCCACGAATGTTCAAAGAACTTCATAAGAGCCAGTAGTTACATTCTCTACTAGAGCGACGCAAACACTTGTGAAATCATACGGATAGTTTCATGGCAAATCTTGGAATTCCCTATCATCATAAAAATCAAATAAAATCTGGGGTAAGACCGTCTATATGACTATTGTCGGAGCCAGAATTAAGTGTGGGTTGGTGTAAGACGAATATAGCGAGAACGGCAATAGTTAGGACATATTGTGATATAATATAATGTAAGATGAAATCATTACCTAACTAATCATTTTTTTGAGAACCTTTTCGATAAATGTATAATAATGCAATGTAGTTTCAATGGAATTTTCATTCTAACATGTCAATTAGATAGAGAAACTTCAGGTCTATAGTTCAAGATACAATGGAAGTTATTATCTTCTCACCGTCTATACTGTTGAGTCGATGAATCGGCGATTTGTTTGCCAAAATAATAGAATACTGCGTTGATTTTGAACAGAATTTTTATTACTTTTTGTCAAATTTTTATCGGAAAAACAAACCATTTTGATAAAAAGTAAAAAAATGGTTAAAAATCAACGTAATACCCCTATTATTTTGACAGGTAAATGCATGGCCATATTCATTTGCTCAACGTTAGCCAGTGAGAAGATAATAATTCGCATTGTATCTTGAACTATAGACCTGAAGTTTCTCTATCTAATTGACATGTTAGAATGAAAATTTCATTGACACTACATTGCATTATTATACATTTTTCGGAAAAATTACCAAAAAAAGATTGGTTAGGTAATAATTTCATCTTGCATAATATTATATCACAACATTTCCTAACTCAGCCTCTTTAGATTGGTAAAAGTTGCAGAGCGATAACGATTACCGTTTTCGTGATATTCATCTTGGGCCAACCCATACTTAATTCTGGCTTCGACAATAGTATTAATTAATGCTAATGCTAATTCTTATACAACACATCTTATCCGTCTTATTTTGATTTGTCGTGTTCTCTTTTCTGTCATATCGTATTGATTATTTTCCTCTTCTTGTGATTACTTTACTTTATTCCAAAAAAATTGGGGAATCTTCATTCACCAACAACTCATTTGATTTCATCATGTTATTATTTGCCATCTCACTATAGCACTTGACATTGCATCTAGTTATAACTCAGGAAACTAAGGTCCTTGTAATAATCTCAGATCTCTCTGTCCTTCCTTTTCTCATCTAGAAAATTTGAAAATGCTACTGTTGTTGATTGGAGCTCCTTCTATATTATGGAACTTGATACAAAGTGCTGAGTCCGTTAAAATTTTTGCCGATTATACCACTAGAACCATGCTTGAAATATGAAAATTGTAATAGTAGATATTGTTTTATGTTGTATCCTACTTAAAAAAAGCACAATACTATACTAAGATGTGCACTGCTTTTGTATAGAATGAGTATTTTCTTTGTTGTCATTGAAAATTACTGTATGATATGAGTTTTGATTGATATGCCTTTTTTTATAAGTGTAAAATATATAAAACTAGCCAAACAAAAGAAATTGTAAGTTTCGAAACTCATAAATTGGTGGCATATTTCTTGAAGAAAAACACATGATTATTTTTAGTCTTAGTGTTCATGTTATAAACTAAAGATATATGCATGTATACGATTTTGCAGAACTATCATACATCACTGATATTGTTATTAAAACTTGCAGAAACTTTATTGCTATTAAGATCATTTCACAGACATGGATATTAAAATCAATATATACATATAAAAAAACCATATGTATCGTGTTTATTTTAAATAGCAAATATGAACTCAAACTTTATTTACAGAATTTTAGTATCAAGGTTCAAGGTTTATTTTACATTCTGATGACGATGAAAGCAATGCAACCAATAGGAGAAGAAAAGTAAACGAACAACGTAGTAGTACTGTTTCTTTTTTGTCCGAGTATGAAGCCACTTATTTTTCTCTTTCCATTTCTGACACGTGTGCAAGAGAAAGAATGATTGCATTTAGAGACGAGAAGAATACAACACATGAAAAAACAACGAGTATTTGGGCTTTGCCATGCATGCACATCGTCGTTCTGTGTTCTAAGCGAGCAAACAGACGTGAGAGAACTTACTCATGCGCCCATATTCATACATTTTTGTTTACCATAAAATGATTAATGTTCATTAGTGAAGTTATTGGTTAGAAATTGCGCAAATAATTAATTCTATTTTTGCATCTTAAATATTTTGTTAATGTTTCAATAGTGAAGAAATGGAAGGTGATATTCAATTTTGGATAATCAATGGTTTGACTATTATTATTCTTGTTAGTCCATTATTTCTCATTTTTTCATATGTCATTATTCTCTTTCTTGTCTTAATCGTTCCTTTAACAATATTTTTTCTCTATTCTTATTTTTCTTTACCAAAATGTCGAAGATCTGTTAATCAATTTAAAAATTTAACAATTGCACATCGTGGTGGTCATCCATTAATACTATCGGATGATAATGATTTTCCTGAAAATACAATGGCTGCTTATCGATGGGCATCAAATATAAAAGGTGTTGATGGTATTGAATTAGACGTATGGTTAAGTCATGATCATATTCCAATGGTTAGTCATGATGGTTATTTAGAACATACATTTTCTAATTGTCGACAATTTATATCATCATTAACATGTGCCGAATTAAAACAATTAAAATATTTCAAAAAAAATAAACGTGATGTTTATAATCATATAGGTTGTGAAACAATACCAACTTTAGAAGAAGTTATTATTTTTTTAGAACCAACAAAACTTAAATTAAGTTAGTATTGATAAATACTGAAAGAAAATAAACAAAAACAAAAGAAACAAAACAATTATTCTCTATTTTTGTTTTTGTAGTGATTGAAATTAAAGAAATGCATAAAAAAGATGAAATGGCAAAGATTATTAATAATCTTTTTGAACGATATCCATTTTTGTATGATCGTGCTTATTGTGTTGCTTTTCATCCGTATAATATATATGCAATTCGTTGTCTTAATTCATATATAACAACAGCCTTTCTCTTGGTACCAGATATAACAGCACATGTTATTCGTAATGCTAATCAAACTCCACGACCCTATTCAACATTTTTCATTCAAAATGTTATATTACGATGGTTAATTGATTCATTTTTTGTGTGGTTAGGTACACCAACTGGTTTGAAATTTTTAGGAGCCGATTTAATTTGTATTCAACATCAACAAATTTCACAAAATTTATTAGATCAATACAAAAAAGCACAAGTTCTTGTATGTGCATGGTGTGTTAATGAAACGGAACAACGACGATGGTTAAAAGCTAATGAAGTTACAGTTATTACGGATACACTTTTCGATATCGATGACAAATCATATGCCATTTAAAATAAGTTATAGATTTTGATCAAATTACATTTGAATTATTAGTTACTTTTTTTTAATAATTTTACACTATCCATTTTAATTATTTATTATTTCCATTTATTAGATATTATTGCATGAATCTCTAATCTAGAAATAAACATTCTATTATCAATCAAAATGATAATTATTTACATTTTAGCTTATTTTAATATTTTTCATGTTAAAATATTTAATGAAAATTGTCACAAAAATAGAGTAAAATAAAAAATATTGAATACATCCTATCCGATTCAAATTGGCGGTAGTTTGATATTTACATGATCTGTTATTCTCTGATCGTCATTTCATTGCCGTATACCAGCGGTATTACAAACAAACCTGCAACATGAAATGTCAACTATGAAAAGTTCGATCACAAATTAGAATGAATTATAAGTGATATGTTGTATGTTCTCTTCACAGAGAAAAATAATATTTAAAAATTAAATAAACAAGATTTGAATAATCATTATCAAAGCATTTTGAAGTATATGGATTATTGATGAATGTAACTGAGTCGTGAGTTTTTTAAAATATATTATATACGTCCTTACCAATGATAAACAAAAAATTTGAAGCATGTTCGCTCTCAACATTAAAAGCTTCTATCATACATAAAATGTTGAACACGTGATTCATTTAAGAAAATCTGTCATTGTTTGAATATAAAGCATTGAACAACTCCTATCACAGATGTTAAAAAGAAAATAGATATCCCATTCATTCAAAAAATTTGGTTCTATAAAATTTTAATACTATTAAAATTTGTTAAATATATTACTTAAATAAAAAGGAAATATATGTAACATAATAGAATCTACAAATTAATATAGTCTAAAGTTGATGATATCTCTTATAATTGATTATAGGTATAGAACAGAAAATATATGTATCTTTTACAAAAATACGAAAATTTATCATTATTTGCTAATGAATGCATTTTATTACCTGAAAAAATATAAAAGCTTATCTTTTTCGTTTCTAAACCACATATTTTTTTTTTCTTTATACGCAGTTATAGATTGCACTCATAATGACATCAATAAACACATTGTAAAAAAATAGTGAATGATTATTTTTTTTTTATACATACGTTGTGATCAGGTATGTAAATATTGATCATTTGCACAAATATAGACAGTAATAGTCACAAGGATGCTTTCTTTGATTGCTCTAAGTAACTTTTCAATATTGATCATTTGTTTATATTTATTATTCTATTCTCCATATCGTATACGTAATTGGAATGGTTTTATAATATTATTTGTTACATTTATAATGCATTTAATATTTAAATGTATTTTACCATTTTGCCAAATGTATCTTTTATATTTTCTTATATTTATTGATATTAATTCTTTCAATTGTTTTTATCATCCAATAATTATTTTTTATAGTGTACTTGAATCATTCTTCTTTTTATTTACTATTGAACAAGCAAGATTATTAAATAACTATTCTTTACCTAAGCGTCCTCAATTACCAAATAATTATGATGAACAATTTATTGATAGAATTTTAAATGTTTATGGAAAATCTCAAGATGATTTTCGAATTAGTTTTGTTGGATGGTTTAATGGTATTAAAAATTCATCTTGTGATTTAATTTATGAAGAAAATATTTTAGAATATATAGGTATGGCAACATATGGTGTCAAATATGGGGATGAAATGACTGATAAACAAAAAAAACATATTCAACGATTATTATATAAAGGATATTTAAAAAAATATCCTGAACAACGTGCAAAAATAAAATCTGGTTATAATAATCAAATACAATTGAAATATCCATATAGAGATTCAATTCAATATACACATTATCCTATGTTAAAATATCTTTTATATGCTTTTGTACGTAGTAGTACTACATCTATACTTAAATCAATGGGATATGAATGTCAAATTATTGATCATGTAGTGTTTTATGTAAGAAAATGTCCGAAACAAACAAGGTAAATAAGTAATGTTGTTTATATGACGTTATTGAGTAAAAATTAGATTTTCGTTTAAACTATTAATTGTTTAGCTGATTGATTTTTCATGATATTTTATAGAATTGTCATCGGTTTTCTAATGGAAATCATTAATATGAAAGTATAAATCATAGTTTTTTCAAATTCTTCTTCTCGTAAATGATCAGCTATTGATAAAGGTCAATATGTACAGTATATCGTCCTTCTGCACAGCCAGACAACACTTAAACAACAAAAAATGTTGACCAAAATTAAAAGATTGAATCTAATACGATCCTATAAAGCATTTGTGAGCTTCAGATGTTGAAAATTTAGTTTTCAATCTTCTAAACAGTGCACGATGTAGTCATTAAGTTCTAACTTTTAAGAAAAATGTCCAAAGAGGAAAGTACCTGAGCTGTAATTCATCATTTGAGCTTATATTGAGTCCACAAGAAAATCTCGGTGAGACTGGAAAACACTTAAAAGGGTTCGTATCTATGAGTTGTTGCATCGAAGTATTACCATTTTATTGAATTTACGGTCAATTTTCCTATATTTATTGGAAGAATACAGCAATAGAGCTTTCACTTGAAATTTGGCTTATAGATAGGTCTAGTGACTCTTACAAGATTCTGAAAGTTTCAGCTGAAAAGAATGTTCCTTTGTTCAGTTATTAGATTTCCAAAAATAGTTGTTTACATTAAAAATCGAGTTTACTTGAAAATTCCATAACTTGCCAAAGAAACATTCTTTTCGATTGAAACTTTCCGAGTATTCTAAGGGTCATTAGATCTATTTATGATCAAAATTGCAGATCGAATATTCAATAAAATGATCATACCTTGACTCCAGAAGCTCATGAGCACGAACTTTTTAAAGTCTTTTCTGGTCTTACTGAGATTTTTTTGATAAGTCCAATATGAGTTCAAACGACGGATTTCAGTTGAGATAGTTTCCTCGTAAGTCAGAGTTCGTTTAATTTTATTGAAACATGTTGAGACATAGTTTTTCTTTAGACTAGATGTTTTGTATTGAATAATAATAAAGACAAGAAAGATAGTTGATGCTCACATTCCAATGTCATTCGAAATAGGACTAATAAAAAGTGTCTTAATACTTCTTTTCATAAAATTTATTAAAAAAAAAAAAAAAAAAGATTTCATTTCATAGTTTACGACCGATTTTATTTCTTCATGGTGTAAGTCTTGGTGCAAATACTTATATTTCATTTATACGTCGCTTAACATCTCTTGATCGTACAATAATACTTCTCAATATTCCACATGCAAGTATGCATCTGTATACTGAAGATTTTTCTATGTCAACTATTTTATCATCTATTGAACAATTACTTATTTCACTTAATGAACAATATATAATAAGTATCAGTCATAGCTATGGTACCCTTATTCAATCATGTATTGTTAAACAAATGCCACATAGAGTTTATGATCAACCAGTTATTTTCATTGATCCTGTTTGTTTTCTTATATTTGATTCACACTATATAAATAATTTTGTTCATCGTCAACCACATACACCAAATCAACTTTTATTACATACAGCTTGTACAGAAGATCTTTATTTAAGTTATACTATCGAACGTCATCTATGTTGGTATGAATGTAATTTATGGGTTGAAGATATAAAGCAAAGTCAAATTCGAATACATGTATTTTTTTCTGAAAATGATGATATTATACCTGTTTCATTTGTAGAAGAATATTTAAGAAAATCTAATATTAATACAACTATTTTTTCTCAGTTTAAACATGGCCAATTTTTAATATCACCAAAAGTTCAAGATGATATTTTGGAAACATTACATAAATTAGAAGCGAAACCAATGATTGATGATGACGAGGATGAATCAGTTTATTTTTAATTCAATCTATATCATTATTTAATTATAAACTAATGACTGTCAACAAAGAAAAATACAAATTTTCTAATATTAATTTTTGAGCCAAATACTAATGCATTTATTTTGTCTTTCTAAATATTATAAATCTACGAAAAATAACATAGTCTGATACCATGTCATATATGACGTCGAATTGATAAACAATGAATGATCATTGAAAATTTTGACACTATCTCAATATTTAAACAATATCGTTATGTTTTCTATGACTTGAAATATTTAATTTAATATTTTCTTTTAAGCATCTTATTTACAGATTGATTTCAATAAGACAACAAATCAAAGATAAAATATTTTGGAATACATTTTTATCATTCATTAATTTCTCAGAAATTCTTATATTACCATTAGGGATGCACCGGTTCCGGTTTTAACCGATACCGGTTTCGGTTCTGGAACCGAAACCGATGGAACCGATTGGAACCGAAACCGGAACCGGTTGGAACCGATAAGAACCGAAACCGGAACCGATTAGAACCGATAAGAACCGAAACCGAAACCGATACGAACCGATTGGAACCGAAACCGGAACCGGTTGGAACCGATAAGAACCGAAACCGGAACCGACAGGAACCGGTCAGAACCGACTGGAACCGAGACCGGAATCGGTCAGAACTAGGAATGTACCCAGGTCGAGAAATCCGACCACTGAATCTTGTCGGATTCGATCGGATTCAATCTCTGATTATGTCGGAAATAGTCGGATTCCGACTTAACCCGGTCGGATTCTATCGGATTGAGTCCAGAATCCAGTGACCCGGAATCCGACAGACATTTAACTGGGAAAGGATCTTATCGGATCCGACAAGAACCGACGAAAGGATCCGGTAAGGTTCCATCGAATCCTCCAACGAAACTTAACAAATCCGACAGGATCCAATCGGATTTTAATCATTAGGCTTCAGTGGTTGTTCTCTTTCCGATTCACTCTCATGTGTTAAATATATAATAAATATTGAGATTTTTGTCTACAATGGGAAAAAATCCATTGTTTCTCCTTCTTATCATCTTATTGAGATGGCAAACGCGAGAGAAACTCAGATATAGTCATCAAACAAAGTGCAAAGATATTAATAATCTGTAAACTATAACCTTACACCCATACCATTATGCCTATATCCTTACACTTATATCCCTATGCCTGTACCCTTACAGCTATACCCTTATGCCTATACCCTTATGCCTATATTCTTACACCTATACCCTTATCCCTATACCCTTATGTCTATATTCTTACGCCTACACTCTAGTAACTATATCCTAATACCTACACCCTTATGCCTATACCCTTCTACCTATACCCTTNGATACGTTGCCTTGAATACTTTAAGAATATTTATTACCAATGGTAGACTCACTTTTTTCACAGGATAGCATTTGTTGCTTTCTCATTATACACGTGTCGAATAAGTAAAACTATCTTTTTCTAACGATTATATTGAATAAAAATGAATTAAAACAAAGATTTGTTGGAAAGACTGCTGAAAAATATAACTTTTTAGGGGACATAATAGAAGACCCCCCTTGCAACTTATGAGCGATAAGACAGAATAGAAGACCCCGGGTCTTCTAATGTGTCGGGGGCTTTAGTATAACTTGAGGACAGAAGAGTACCGCTCAACAAGTAGGACTTGACGAACTAACGGTGCTCCCTTATAGTAGGACTTCAGGACCCAATGGTACCCCTGAATAGTGGGACTTGAGGGCCTAAGGGTACCCCCAATAGTAGGGCTTGAGCATCCAATGATACCCCTGAATAGTAGGAGTTGAGGACCTAAGGGTACCGCCTATAGTACTACTTGAGGACGAAAGGGTACCGTCACTAGTGGAGCTCGAGGACCCGAGGATACCTTCTATAGTAGAGCCCGAGGACCCAAGGGAACTCCCTATAGCAGGGCTTGGGGACCCAACAGTGCCTCCATAGAATAGTCCTTGAGGACTTGTGGATACTCCCATAGAATAGCCCTTGAGGACTTATGAGTACCCTCGTAGGATAGTATCTATTTTAACTTTAAGTTCAGTTCATTCGAAAAGAACTGTTTAGAAAGTTCAGTTCGTTCAAAAGAACTGTTAAAGCAGTTCAGTTCATTTGAGAAGAGCTGTTTGGATAGCTCGGTTCATTCAAAAGAACTGTTCAAAGAGTTCAGTTCATTTGAAAAGAACTGTTGGAAAAAGTTCAGTTCGTTGAAAAGAACTGTTCGAACAGTTCAGTTCATTTGAAGCGAACTGTTTGAAACAGTTCAGTTGGTTCAAGAGAACTGTTCGAGCAGTTCTTTAGCTCATATGAACGGAGTTCGTGAACTGAGCTGGTCGACTCCTATCACCGACACATCAATTTGAAAATTCGAAGTTTCTTTTTATTTATTTTCTGTTACAGTTGAATCGTGGAATTCTTAAGTTTTTCGATTGATTATATGTACGAAAATTAATGCTGTATCCAGAATAATTGAATTACAAAGTACTTATTAATATTGGCATTTTAAGTCTTATTTATATTTCAATCTTTCGCTCGATATAACGAGCTTTTATAGTTCCAATGAAAGTACTTTTACTCTAAGAAACCTACCTAATTACTGAAACGATAATTTATTTGTTTACCGTTGACGTCATTTGCACAAAAGGGTATATGATACATTAAATATTAAAGAAATTTATTACGAAATTTGCTTCTATATATGAATGAATATTTGTGAATAAATAGATGATGGTTCACCCTGAATCAAAATAGGATTAGCGCTTACATTGCTACACGAGGCACAGAAAATATGATAAGTCTCCTATTGACAGTTTATCAATTGATAGAAACTCAGCGAACTTAAACAAGAAATTAGGATATTTCCTCTTTGTTTTCTCCAAATTATTATAATAAAAGCTGCACAGTTAAAAAAAGAACTCTAAGATAAATCATAATTAATGTTTTATAGAGATTGCCATTCAGTCTTCAATGTTAAAAACTAAAACAGGTAATTTTTTACATTTCGATATATATCAGTTAAGTTTGTCAATTCTTAGGATCACCCGTTCTCTTGAATTTGGTGGCGAAGCTATTTAGTAATTCTTTGCTTCTCTCTAAATTGCTCAAACGTTATCTCTTGATTAAACTAACCTGTCGAATACAGTTGTTTTGATTTTTTTTCCAAATTATTAGTTATCAGACATTGAATTAATAGGCATTTCTTATCATTTTAGGAATTCTTGAAATTCGAAATTTCTAGCCGCTGCCATCACCGTATTGGTAAAGATTCTAAGCCATCTTCACCATGAGTTTACAAAAATTAAGTTTTTATAGACGCCGCTGTTGAAGAAAGTACAAATTTCGAACTAACAGACGTCAAAGGTTTACAAAGATTAAATGTTTTCCATCGCTACCGCCGATCTACTTGTTGGGTTACAGCTCTATTCAAAAAGCCATTTGAGAATATCTAGTTCTCTTTAGTTCCCTGAACCTCTTCATCCTCTTTAGTCCCTTTAATATTTTTGATGTTTGTAGCTTTGGTGACAGCAAAATAAAATACAATAAAACTAGTTTTTATTCGATTCCTTTATGTCTTGACTATATTTTCTTTCTCGATAATAGATTACTCACGAAATGTTAATAATTGGCCGATTGATTCTTTTTCCATGTTCAAAACTGTAAAAACTGCATCAGAAGCTGTTCCCAATATGTTATATGTCGTATTCCTTTGAGTTTTCAGGTAACCGCCTTGAGCTGCCAGAACACTAGTAAACAACGCTTGTAAACGATTTTCAATCGTTCGATAAAATAAGAATAGATTAGGATTTTGCTTGATATACTGAATGGTTTTGGTTCTGTTCGATAGGGTTTCTTGTTCTCGACGAAACACAAGTATTGAAGACTCATAAACAGCTAGTTGTTTCTTATGTAATTCCCGCTCTTCAAAAATCTTTTTTCGTTCAGTAGCGGGCAAACCTTGTGCACTGCTTAAGCGTTTATCAGTTTCTCGAATATTGTCCTCGAGCGTTTTATTATACATTTCCAATTCATTCAATCGATTTTCTACTTCGTTCATTTTTTTGTTTAAATCACTCTCATCTTTTTTAATCAGTGTGCGAATACTCTCTGTCGTGTTAGCATTCACAAGATCCGTTGAATTTTGTCGTGCTTTTGATGTCAATTTTGAGAATAAGTCTACAAATGTGTTGGGATCAGTTGGATCGAGATCAACAGAAGTTCCAGTAATTAGTGTACTTAGACCATCCAAAAGTCCATGTAACATTTTCTTATAGTTTACACCTAATGTTACTATTTTGTCCAATTCTATATCCGAGGGAATATCCATTTTTAACTGTTCGTCGTAGTGGAATTGAAGAATGTTGGCTATTTCTTCTTGGTTATGTTTTTTAGCAATTGGAATAAGTTCATAGCATAGATGTCTTTTCTCTTCTCTCGACTCGTAACGCTCTTGACAAAACTCTTTTATAATTTTTGCTTGACCATTCTGACACGCAACTGCAAGTACTTCATAGCTGTGTTTAGGTGTGGCATCTTTTTTTCCAGCTGTGATCAGGGAACTCGCCGAATTCGGACCGAATTTTAGTACTTGAGCAATACGTTTGAATTCTTGTTTTTCCGCTATTTGAAGAGCTGTTTCGCGAGCTCTGTTTTCTTGCTTTTTGGTCGCCGGATATTTAGTTGCAAACAGTTCAATAATGGCAAAATCGCCTATAACCATAAAACTGTATATGAAAAACAGCTAATGGTCAACCAGAATGGTTAAAATAGAAGTTACAAGTAGATAACCTTAACGGATATCATATTGTAAATCAAGCTTTTCTGCATATGACACTGCCTTTCATTCTGTCTGTTGACGCTTATTAAATGAAAAAACATGAACGAAACAAAATTGATGATCACTGCTAATATTGAATGACTGATCAAGCCACAAAGAAAAACATATCTAATGAAACAAAGAAAGCGATGATCATCAACTGTCTTATATCATTTTGAAGCCCAAAATCTGGGCTTTCTTCTCATCTATTTAAAATTTTCGTAGATTGCTTTTGCTAAGAGAAAAGTTCTTCGGAAAAGCTAAGGAAAATGCATGTCTGTGCGTTACCAAAAACCAAATTTAGTTAGTTTTTTTTACTAAAATAAAACTGTTTATTATAAAAATTTCGGTGGTCTTCCACTAAATTTTTATGGGCTATCTAATGCACCTATCGGTTTTTCATAAAAGTGCTTTACAGCTGAGAAACTAGGTAACGCACCGACGCGGCTCTTGCTTGCTTCATATTAACACATTCATAGATTCACTGAAAGTTGTTTGTTTCAACTCAAACTTAACATCCCAGGTAATTTTGCAGTTTTGTATTGCTGGCCAATTGATCTGAATAAAGTATAGAAAATAAAAGTGCAGAGGTTTTGACTGGATTTCTAGAAAAATTTATCAAGAATTATGGTTTTTTCTTCTAGATTACTCTGATATACAGCAAATTCATCTTGTTTCTAGTAATTTGAAGAACATCTGCTATATGAATGTAACGAAATGTAGCATCTTTATCTTTATCTAATTCTCTCTATTGACCGTGTGACCGTTCTTTTCTAGTGCGACGACTACGCTTAACTGCCGTTCATTGTCTATCCCTCGTACATAAGTGTGTGTTCTATGTGTGACGGGGACAATTTGTTGTATGAAGAAGCCAAATAAAGTGAGTATATCTCTCTCATTGTTACTTCTCTCATCAAGTTCGTCACAATGAAGCTCACTGCGGCTCAAAAACAGAAACGTTGTTGAGATCAATGAAATCTCTCAAACTGAGATTGATGCATCGAAACTAAAACTTCAACAATTAGTCGTTAAGACGAAATCGGTCAAAAATACTCAGAAATTGCACAATGTCATTCCCATTCGTCCGAATGTTATCGAGTGTCGTATGTACTGCTATTCAACGTCGAAGTGGAGTGTTTTCTTCTGATTTATATCCTAAGAAAATGAACTTATCGTTTTGTTTTTAACAATAATTTGTTTAAACCTTATTTAAATTATTCATATAAAAACAGTAGTAGTTGCTTGAAATACAAACGAATATCATTACCTTAATATTCTGAAGACAAAGAAGGGGGGCGTATAAGGACGCATTTTGGCTACTTTCGATTTCTATACTAAAGTTCATTGAATCAACTATGAATCGATACAGAAAAGTCTTCTAATCATTTTAATGATAGATTAAATGCATTTTCATCAGATTTTAAGTGTCATTACGTTCTTGCATTGACGGTATCCTCAAGTACTACTTATCGAGTAACACACTACAATATCGTCATGAACTCTTTCACAACAGAGAGCTAAAAATAAATATCAGATCTAAGATTTTTCTATATAGTTTTTGTCGCGCTGTATTTTCCTGACAAATTCATTGACTTAGGATACCAATTTCATTGTTGAGACTTTAAATAAGGATACTCTATGATCTACATTATGAATGCGTAATTCACATATATAACATATAAACTATAATTATGCATTTGATATTCCATACAGCCAATTCTCACCCAACTTCTCTTATAGGCCATTCGATAGAACTTTTGACGCTCTACAAAATTAGATATGTTCGAGGCTTCAAAAAAGTGGGCCACATAATCAAATATTGAGTCAAACACTGATAGACTGCTATTTTTCGACTTTTTCGGTTAGTTCTCGATTGTTTTTAAGCAGAATAGTCCATGTAATGATTCAAAAAAATGTTATATTCGGAATCAGCATTAAAAGTTAGGTCTACCCATATATATTTCGAACTGCTCCTACGACTTTCTTTTCTGGCCATATTTTTACCTAGGGTTCCCCTCAGGGATATGTGAAAATATAAGTTTTGTTGAAACGGCTGTCTGATTATCAAGTAAAGTGTCTTTTGGTATCCAAATATTATTCCATCACCTCAGAACTTGTTTTCCAAAGTCAGAATGATTCTTTCAGCAAACTCGGTTTTCCACCTATCCCTGAGGGGCACCCCAGGTAAAAAAAACCTGTTAGCGCAATCCCTTGCGGGATTAAAAATGTGAAACACGATGGCTCTACTATTAATAATTGAATGGAAATCCTTTCGTTCAACTATGTTGCGGTACATTTGTTGCTAACCGTTTATCTAATGCTTTACAACTACAGTTTCTCTGTCACGGTCTGTGATGGGTACCCGGATTCTCTGTCAGGGTTTGTGACGGGTACCCGGATTCTCTGTCACGGTCTGTGACGGGTACCCGGATTCTCTGTCACGGTCTGTGATGGGTACCCGGATTCTCTGTCACGGTCTGTGATGGGTATGGATTTTCTCTGTCACGGTCTGTGGGGGGNCGCTAGCTCATGTAGTAAGAAAATTATAAGCTTAGAAATGTGCTTCACAAAAAATAAAAATTAACCGCGACCGCGGTTTCGGTATTTTTGCTCTAACTCCTGTTCCTTACGTTTCATGGAACAAATTCTTTTTTTAATAGAAGCGCTGTGACATTCTCTACAAAATCATACTTAAACTTTAATTCCAGAACTTCAATCAAGAAAACTAAGCAAATGATATATGAGACGAAAAATATAAAAACTCTGCCAACTTGGTATTGTGTTTCACTTGAACTTTTTCTTTTCCTATTATTTCCGTAAAACAGCGTAGTAAAAGTGAGAACTCAGTTGAGTTTGGTACTTTCAGATGTACTCTTTCTCATCGTGTTTAAAAATTTTTTTTTACAGCAGATAGTGTGTGCGAGATGCAAGTTTCGAAACTACGTGAAAAAGCCGATAACCTCGTTTCCGACAATGTACTCAGCAAGAAACGGAAAACGTGATCGAAGTGCTTCACTTTTCGTATCGATCTTGATGAGCAAAGGCTTTTAGAAATACATAAATGCTCACAAAAAATCGCGAAATCGCAGTTAGCCCATTGAGCAAGTGTTAAATTTCGCACCGGCCAAAAAAAAAATGATTCGAAAAACAAAGACAGTAGTTTTGTAGAACAGAAAATTTCCTATCAAATGAGCCTAAAATGCAGTCTCTAAGGTTTTGGAAAGCATCCTAAAAAGAGGAAGACATTTTGTCCCGTTTTTTATGCGCCACCCGTTATACTCTAGAGAAAAATTTTCATTTTTCCAAAGAATATTTCTAAATAATAGAAAAAAGTAACGCACATGATATTGACACATTGATCTTTGGTATTCTTCAGAACATGTGCATATATTAGCAGCTACGATAAATATATTCTTGTAGAATTTCCATTATAATAATTATTTTTATTCTTACGTATACAAGAATCATTGTTTTGATATGGATTAGTACGGATAATTATAAGCACAAGCATAATAAATTCGTTGGAAATGTCAATAAATGACAAATATTAACTCACAATTTTCACAAGTTGAACCATAATTATCCGATGAATATTCAAAGTCGAACCAAATAATAATATAATTTTTTTTGTGTATGTTCACATTTATTTTAACCATTGAGTTGAATTAATAATGAGATAAAGTCTATGTTGATACTTTATGACAAGATAAATGAGTATATTATTTGCTTACAACTGACCGAATATGTTTTTATCGTATTTAGATGCGTACAATTAGTGGATTAATTGATGGTCTAAAGCAAATTATGAATGAAAAGTTCTGTATCAATATTTCTAATGTAATTCAGAGTTATTATTCTATTTCAAAGGCAAGTTTTTACGAAAAATTCCCTTGCTGAACCGCATTAAATATGTTTGAAATTTCAATAAGTTTTCATTTAAAATTCCTTCTATTTTGATACTCGATGAAATTTATTTATTTTACTTTGTTGGTATTATAAATAGAGATAAATAGCATAAAAATCATTGTTTTATGACTTCGGAACGATAGTTAATCTCATGTCGTTGTTGCAATATTATAAATATGAATATATAATAGATTCTTAATAGAGAAGAAGACTAACATTCATGTATATCGAAAACAAAAGCAAAAGCACCTTTATTATAAGAACATTTTCTTTATTTAATCATCAAACCATTATCACCAAAAAGAAGAAAGTTTATAATTATTTCATATAAAAACAAACTCTAGAAAAATAAAATTTTCTAATTTTATTAATGCATCGCTATCAATTGTTCCTCATGAATGTGATCGTTTTGGTTTTATCAATCATGTTTTTTCGTAAGCATGACATGAACAAACAACTTCGTCATTATTTTAATTCTATTGGTTAAAAGTTGCAAGTGTTTTGACTGAATTCTAATACAACGACAAAAATATTGCACATTTATTTGCGAAAACATTAAATAAAAATACATCATCTAATCATATAACGATCACATATTTGTCTTGCAACATTTCTACTTAATTTAAGTTAAATTCTCATGGTTTTTTTTTAATGATAAAATAATTCAAACAATATCAAACAAATAATACATATTAATTTAAACTTAGGAGCAAAATAAAAAAAAAAGTTTCCTGTGAACAAAATTCATAAACGACTTTTTTCTTTATCAAGTTCTTTTGTTTTGTCTCTATATCGATAATCAACACAGAATCGAAAAAAATCCATTTGTTGTTGTTTTATATGTTTTAAATTTAAATATTGTTCATGACGAAACACTGGAAATTGTGGTATACGTTGATAAATTAATGTTGCTGCTAAAATTAATTGATAAGCAGTAACACCCCATACATGATATTTTCCAATATTAAAATGATGTGTTACGAAATCATCTCCAACTTCTAACATTTTATAATTTTCATTTGCAAAAAGAAATTGTTCAAGATCAACATAAAATGCATCTGATGCTTCATCAAGTGATAAACGAAAATCAACAAATTTTGGTGAATGAAGTAAAGCAACAACAGGTGTTATTATAACAAGACGAGAATCAGTTAATGGAAGAAGACAACCAATTATTGAATATTGATGTGGTTCAATACCTATTTCTTCTTCAGCTTCACGTTCAGCTGTATGAATTGAATCACGATCCGTTGGATCAGCCATTCCACCAGGAAAAGCTGTAGAATGTTTAAAAAAAAAGAAAGATTTTACTTTTGATGAACGATTGAATATTTTATTACTAACCAATCATTCCTGTATGTGATCGCATTTTTTCTGATCGTTTCATAAGTAAAACTTCTACTCGATTTGTTATTTGATTACAATAAAGAGGAACAAGAACAGATGCTCGTCGTGATCGTTTTAATCTTGGTACACTTTCAGAAAGTTCATCAACATAATTCGGTGTTTTATCAAGATAAGGTATTAAACGTTTTCGAATAAGTTCATTTGTAAATACTTCATTAGATGATGATGATGATGACATGGAGCAAATAGGAATAATGTGTGGACTTTTTTGAATAATACTTTTTCTAATAAAATGCCACAACATCAATCTATAACATATATATTACTTACAAATAAAATTTTTATATATGACTGATTTATCATTGAACAAAGACATTTAAAATAACATGTTTTTGATGATATTCTTGTTTATTTATTTATATACATTAAAAATAAAAGATTCATTTACATAATTCAGATTTTTTCTTTTTATCCCCATGCTTGAGTTAATGAATAATGTAAGACAAGTGTTCCTTCACTACTGAAACAATCATTAACTGCTCCAATTGTTGTATCAAGTGCTGGTGCAAAAGCTTGATTAACATAAAGAAAAAGTTGTTGTTGTTGTTGAGCATCAAGTTGCATGTATTTTTTTAAAAATTCAACAATATGACCAATTGTTTTTGATCTTGGTAATGCCCATTTTTTCTTTTTTAATATTGGTGCACCACCTGCTGCTTTAAGAAGAAAAACAACTTTTGAACCACCTTCAGAATCATTACTTGGACCAGATCGTGTCGAATTAATATCTCCTTCTTCCTTATTCACTGCAGAGTTTGAAGGATCTGCAGAAGGAGATTCATTTTCATTACTATCGACTGTTGACATTATTTATAATCTACAAAAAAAAAAGCACGTCTAGTTTTTTTTTTAGAAAATCAGAACTTATAACAGTTCATGTCATCATGAATATAATAAACAATGCTCTAATTATTTTTCGTATATGAATAAAACTTCTTTAATGTGAGCATTATCAAACACTAGTCAAAAGTGTTCATTTTATGGAAGTATTTATAATATAGAATTTTTTCAGCTTCCTTTGTGTTTTGTAAATTGTAAATATTCAGTTGTAATCGCTTGTCAACTGCACAAATAGACTTTTTTTCTACTTTCCAACAAATAATTAAGTCAACTGTTCTAATCAAAGATAAATCAACTAGTGTGTTGACAAGAGTTGATATTAATGATTGTTAACACAAAAGTGACAAGATGTTACATCAAGTATTACTTCTGTTGTCTAAAATTGTTGTTTTTTTTTTCTCTTTTGAATATCCATGGGTAGTCTATGTCATTTTCCTGTATCCCATGATTGTTTATCATAACATAATACACATAACATCATTTTTTTTGTCACTCTGCACGCAAATGATAAGAATATATGTTACTTGTATTACAGAAGCTGCTGTTACTTATGAAACTAGAAATAAGCGCTTGCTGTTCATAATACAGATGGGTTCATATAGAGAAATTTTATTTTATATCTATATCACTGATTTAGAAAATATCTTATAAATTTATAGAAAATAAGAACAAATATCTAATTTATATTATGTATTATTAAAGAGGAAACTTAATGAGGTCTATTCAGTTATAAATAGAAAACATATTTAATGGCAAATGATGCAATAGATCAGTAACAAGAAAAAAAAAGATAAATGATACTGTTAACATTATATCTGCATGATGAAATTGCTTATATAATCAATGATGACAATTGAAAATGTGTCTTTCAATTTATAAGTTAATAGATTTGATGATAAGAAAGAGAAGGTTTTACTTCAATTATGTTACAGAGAATATTAAATTACTATTAAAACTGTATCGTAGATGGTGATAAACATCTTAACATTATAAAAAAAAGTCATAATTCAAGAGAAAAATAAAACATTTTAAACTTTTCATGCTATACGTCAACACTCCTCTAGATGATATCTTACAAAATAATAATCAAGATTTGCCCTTTGATATAGCATTGATAGAAGATCTAGTAATACGATATGGTTTGTCTATCATTCATCCTACAAAGATCAACTGTAGTCTATACTAACGACGTGTTTTTATCAATTAAATAAGATTGTCCTTGGATTCTCAGGTCGACGATTACGGACTTTTGATGAACTCATTTAGTCTAAATTATTTATATCTATTCATAGAAATATAATTTCAATTATAATAAAATGTTGTTTCATCTAACTATTATAATCTAAAAGAAATAATAATAGATAATTAACGTTTAGTCAAAATTTATTATCTAATAAATCATACTTCTAGTATAGAATTTTACATAAAATAGATCAATTAATCTTAACATTAATTAATAAAACTTAATTACCTGACTAATTATTGAAATAATAAATGATACTTAACTAAATCAATAAACAAACTAAGAAATTTCTTGTAGATATAAATCAAAATTTTGTTCAATTCCACGGATTAAATTTCAATTTATCTAGAATATGTAGCATTTTCAAATACTTTGCGAATGATCGTTCTAAAATGCCTGATTCCATAGGATTTAATATACAAAATAAGATAACATAAAATAAGTGAGACTACAAACAAACACACACACACACACGCGCGCGCATACATCTGACTCTACAACGAGCTTCTTAAGGTCCAAGTGTTGTTCTTGGCTGCTGCTGCTGCTGCTGTTGTTGTTGATGACGATTATGTTGTTTTCTTCTACGTTGTTGTTGTAATTGTTGTTGTCTAGTATTAGTTGTTGTCTTTTTAACAACAACTTTTCGTTGATGACCATTTCGTCCATTATGTTTTTTCCGTCTTTTATTTTGTTTTTGTAATTCAGCTTCAATTCTTGCATTTGAAAGTGCATTAGCATAATCTGTAGGTAATTGCGCCAGTGTTGTACCAGCACAAAGACGATATTGTGTTGAAAGATCTCCTGGTAAATGAAAAAGTAATGTTGTATAACAAGTATTTTGATCTCGAAGTGGTTCAACAGATACAACATGTGATGAATAATCAATATCTGTACGAGTTGATGGAAGTAATAGTGGAATATCTACAGATGATGATGCAGCAGGAAAAGTAAGCTAAAAAAAATTAGTTTTTGAATTAATGAAAATATTGAAAAACACAAATAGAAGAAAAATAAAAACCTGTTGAGAATTTTCTTCATCATCAGATATTATTGTTGATGGTTTAATAAATAATTGAATTTTAGCAAATGGTCTTGCCATACGTTTATGATATTCATGTTTAAGTGTTCTTCGTCTACGATGAATTTCATATGCAAATTTAACTTTCCAAAAACAAATTCCAATTGAAAGAAAAAGAAAAAATGAAGAAAAAAATACACTGAAAAAAACGAATAAATCTATATTCATTCTTGATTGATAAATTTTAATAAAGCCACTTGTTTTTGATGATATTAATAATGAACCTGTTGTTAAATGTATAGCTCGATAATCCGAAAGTGAAAATGATATAGATTGTGATTGAGGATCAATCAAATCTGATAAACGTATACGTGATATTGGTTGATCAACTAATAAACAATGAAGATTATCTTGTGTAAAATCAATATCTGTTGGAGATATTAATAATGTCAAACGATGACGAGATGATAAATTTCGAAGAATAATTATATCAGATGGATCAGAATAAAGAATTCCTATTTTAATAAAAAAAAGAAGAAAAAAAACACAAGTTTTTCAAACCATGTCGCAAGTTTATTCGCACTACCACCGACATACTACAGGATATTGTTTACTCAAATTCGAATTACTTATCATAATTTAGATTAATCGAGAAGACAAATTCAGAATATATTTTACTAATATAAAGTTTCTGCAATGTCATTTACAATAAAAAATTTATCTCATAGCCGGGGTCGATTTGACCTTTGTGGTTAGCACTGGCTGATCAGACGTGCTGACATAATCAGAGTCCCTCGAAAACGACTCCATTCTGTCAGCTTTAACAGACTTGAAAAACATTCACGCGCTTTGATATAATACTTTCAAACAAAAAAAAATCGTCGGTATAGAGTATATTATACTGAGGACAGTTATCACATGAGAATATAAACATTTGAAGATGGGCTATTGAAAAGATCAAAAGAAAAAAAATATTTAATTGAAAACAGAAATAGAATCGACTGGTGTCTTTTCGAAACCGAACTGAACTGAGTCAAAACTTATAGAGAAATTAACAAATCAATTAGAGTATCAGATTTTTATGAGATCGGTGGTTTGCGTTTTCTTGGAACTCAACTGAGCGGATCGCATCTTTGATTGAAAAAATATTGAAACCTGAAAATATTTTTAAAAAAAACATGTAATATTCTGATTAAGTATTGATTCTATTTGTTTATAGTTTGTTATTGTTTTTTGTCATTATAAATGTCGATAGTTAATGGATTTTCTATTGCTTGCCAGAAGTTATTATTGAAAAAACATATAAGAAATTAGTAACGAGAATGTCACCAAAAATGAAAAGAAAAAAAAGAAACTAAATGATACATTAGAATATTTTCAAGAATAATAATTTTCGAAAGTGTTCTATTTTTCATTGATGTGTCCAGAATCTAGATATACGAACCAATAACAAAGTTAAAGGTAAATATTTCGTTCTTTCTCTTTCTCGCTTGTAGTTTCAGACCTTTATGTTTTATTTAGCATTTCATAGCCGTATTAATTGTCGTTAGATAAGTTTATCAAGCAAATATTTGGTCGTTCATCGAATTTCTTCAAGAACATGAGCACGATCGACATGAATGTGTGGGTTCTTAATACTATAAATAAATTTTTTTCGTCTTCAAGTTCTTTAAAATTAGTTTATCCATACTCAAAGATATATTTCCAATAGCAAGAATTACAGGTTTTCGTCTCAACTTTCAATGCTGTATTCGATACTATTCTTTCAAATTTTTTGGCATATCAAACAGTTTACGGATTTTGTCTTAAAATTCATAAATTCCGATCAATTCTAAAACTCTTTCTCTTTTTTGTTGAGATTCTATAAAATCTGATAATTACTTCGCATAAAACAATCAAAACTGAGCAGAACTCTTATAAACAATTGATAGTACAATGGGTTTTTTCAAAAGTAAAAAAATGTTATCAGCGAAACTACACTTCAGGAGTTGGTGCATTCATAATTTTACTAGTTAGTTGTTAATCTTGTATCTTTATTATTATATATATCTGTTTAATATTAACCTAACACCAATCTTGATATTCATTGTCTATAATTTTCATATTCTAATCTTTCGTATGACAATCAGTTAAATAGAATTAATGTATCTAAGTCGAAAATTCGAATCGATTTTATTACTGAAAAGATTTGTTCAATTTTCTCTCATCAAAGTAAAACATTAATTTGTTAATAATATATTTTAGGATAATAAAAGGAAAAGAAATATTACCGAAATTAAAATCTTCATTTGTTAAATCATAATCACGAATAAGTGGTTCTGTATCAGTTAATGATTGATGTTCATAATAAACATGATGATCATTTAATATAATAAAATTAGCATTTCGTATTGAACATATAACATCAACAAAACCATTTTCAATTCCAATTAAAACTCTAAAAGAAAAAAAACAATATAATTTCTTTTTTCTTTTCTTATTTATATTTATTTGTTTTGTTTTAAATTTCTAACCGAATATTAAGATTACGATAACTAGGAGTTATTTCAAATGATATTGTTCCATTATCGTCACTTCTAATTATGTCATAATTATTTAAACATGATTTTAAAGAATTTCCAAAATCAAAACATTGAGTTGTGTCAGTAGCTAATAATCTATAAAGAAACGACGATGTTTATTTTAAAAAATCAAACACAAAAAATTCGCAAATAGAAAGAAGAACAAACTTATAACATCGATGACCACGTTCAGATGTAACACCATTATAACCACGTTTACAATTTGGACATTGTTGATGAATTCTTGAACGACATTGATTTTGTTCTTGATTATTTATATTATATGTACGATTTGAAAGACATTGATGAAAATTGAAATCGACTAAATTTGAATCCGATAAATGTGAAAGACACCTACAACCATCAGTTACTTAAAAAAAAGAAAAAAAGAAAAAGATTTTATTATTTCTTTTATGCAAATATTTTTCATTTATTTATATTTAATTTACTATTAGTTCGACAATCATATGTTTGACCAGAACATGAACATTCAAAACAAGTTGTTGTCGGTGTTTTTAATTCAATTAAATGTGAAAGTTGTTTTCCATTTGGACGATAACGACAATATTCACATCGAAGACCACGAGTTAAATTTCCACAAAATAAACACACCTAATTTAAATAAAATATTTATTCGAAAAATATCGGATATTAATAAATATGACTTCGAATATGCCTGATGAGGATTATTTTTTTATTAATATATAAACAGAGTGGAAAACAAACAAACTTGTTGAAATGATTTAAAAAAAAAATATTTAAGCATGTGTCTTGATTATATAAACTTATGTATTAAATTCATTTTATTTTTCTGCTTATAAAATACAATTTTGATTTAAAAACAAACTCATACCTTATCAATTTCATTTTTATGAGTTTGAAAATTTCATAAAAAATACGTCTACTGTATTTGAAAATATGCTTATCTTTGAGAATATCATCACGATTAACATTGAGATGCATTCTGAAAAATTTTACCAGATTGGAAATTTCCTTATCAACTTTTAAACTATTTTGAATTTTTTTTCTAGTCCTACTGGTTGAAATTCTATAGAATTCTCTGAGACATTGTTGTGCTATAAAGGGATATTTTTTCGACTGTTATTTTTGTCAACAAAGAAAAAAGAAGAATGGTGAAAGAACCAATCAACGGTAAGATCTAAAAAAATATGAGAGTCTCTAGTGATCTAGTATAAGGCATGAAAATGAACAAAAAGTTATTAGATGTCAAAGATTCATCTACTTTTTTCTAAACATGATTGGTTCAGAAAGTCGTTAACACACTTTTCAATGCATTAAAAATCATAATTAAAAAATATCGCAAGAAAAAAAGATTGTCATAGTCTTAGGCAAACCCACTATGGACATTACTTTTTCGCCTTGTTGTCATTTCCTTATTTCATCATATGATTGTCGGCAAATCTTTCATCAACAAAGAGTGCCTTCTAGTGTATACCTTTATTATTCACAGAACGGAAGAAATATGACAATGCATGCATACATAATAACACTATTAAATTGATGACACAAAAAGGAAGAAAATGTATTTATATGGATTGACCTGAAGAAAACGTTATGTTCTAAGCTTCAAACAAACAATTTTATCATATTCAACTTGTTGAAGAGCATGATGTACTCAAGTATTTGAAGCATGCTAAATCTTATTGCTATTATTATCATTTTTGTCTTTACGATAAGATAAGATTCTTTTATTAACCATTTGTCTTTTTGTTTTTGTCTCATTTATATTCTTAATATATGATTACAAACAAAAATAGCTTAATAAAAAATAAATAAATCATTCTATGAAAAGTCATTAAATTTTCATTTCATTATTTTACTTTAATTCTTCAAGAATAAATTCGATATAAAATTTTTTATGTCAAAAAGAAAAAAAAATGATTTGAATTTTTCTTAACGACTAACAAATCTTAAATTTAATGACTAACCGGTTCATCATTATCTTTATCATCATGAAATATATCCGATTGATTTGAAATTAAAAATGATTGAACAATTTCTGGTGTTAATCGTTGTTGACATTCTCGAATATTTCGAGTAAGATAAATAGATGAACATAGACGATGTAATTGATTAACATATAAACATATGTTTGTTTGATAATTACAATGAGACAAACAGGATATACATTGACCTGATTTTGATTGAAAAAACCTATAAACAAATAGCAAATAATCAAATTATTTTTTATTTTGAAAAAAAAAAGCAAAGTTTTTACTCAGTTTGATTATTTATTTTACATTGATCACCATTTGATAAACTGATGAAAAATAATAAAAATAAATGACGATAACACATTCGTCTATCGATTTAAAACAAACTACATTTTCATCATTGAATTCTTTTTATCTACAATAGAAAATAATTTTTTTTTGTTTTTATAAAAGATTTGACTTCATTTCAACATAATGATACACAACAGAACATCAAAATCACATTATCATTATGAACATTTAATGAACATTCTCATTTTTCTCTATCAATATATTCGATATTGTCGATCAAAAAGAAAATAAAAAAATCAAGCAAACCTATATATTTTTGATCGTAAATATGTAAGATACCTATAGATATTCTGCCAATCATCCGTTTCAATAATAACGATTCATATAAAAAACAAGTAGTATCCAGCCTTGTTTCCTATTGGCTTATTTAACTAACAAATTAAAAAATATTCATTAACCTCAATACATACTATTTGTTATATATTTTTTCGGTTGAATAAATCATTAAGACCGAAAAACATTCATAAATTTTTATTACAAAGTTTTTTTTTTAAATATAAAAGTAAAAAAAAAAAAAAAAGAAAGCCATCTGTCAAAATTGATCAATGGTGGTCTTATTGTTATAATTATGGTTTTGTCCTGTTCTTATTTATATGTGCATGACTTATGAACGAAACATGTTAAATATACAGAAAAAGCCTTAGAATAAAATTTAACAATAAATGTTGATTCAAGGATTTTGCTTTCTTTTAGGGTTCGTGTTGTAGCATTAGTTTTTATTTTATTACGTATTTCTCTACTCACAAAAAAGAACGCATGGATTCACAAGAACGACCAAATACACAGGTAGTTTATATCATTTAAAATACGGAAAGATTTGTTTTTTATTATTAATTTGATATATAATAGACCGTATCGGTTTCGAATCCATATTTATTACGATTAAAATGTTTTCTTTGTCAAGCATCAAATCCAAATATTAA